TGATGATATTCACCCCCACCTTCCCTACGTCAATCACCAACACGCAATCAGGGTTCAAAACCTACCCTTCCATCCCATCCATTCACCACAGCACAAGTTTTTCTATTTTAAAAAAATAAAAATCCGTATCACAAACCTCGGTCCAGAACCATTTCCCCCCCCCCCATCGCACAACGTGTGGAACATATCAAGAGTAATTGCGTGTGTGCGTGTGTGCGTGTCTGCGTGTCTGCGTGTCTGCGTGTCTGCGTGTCTGCGTGTGTGGGTAGATTGCGGGGACTGTAAGGTACATACAAGGAGATCTAAGGTTATATGTGTGGTTATGTACCGTACTACTCTACGTATAAACGGATCGGAGTGGCAGTGCCAGCGTTCTAGAGCACACGTGGGGTGTTACGGACGGTGTTATTTGATCCCCCCCCGCGCCGGAAGATGGGTAGGCCCGGTCGGTCGGAGTCGGTCGGTAGTTTTGCGGGTGGGTGGGGGACCAGATACAAAAATACAAAAATACAAATACCATTTTTCTCCATAGTACGGGATGGAGAGTGTGTGTGTGAAGTACCATACAGCCACCGTGCGTGAGCGAGTGGTCCGTGGGGGTGACGATCGATTAGCACAGCGTGGGATCGGAAAGTGGTGGTGGGGAGGGAGGGAATGGGGGCGGGAATCGATAGATGGAGGAGCGGGATAGGAAAATGCCGGAGGGAGCGAGATGGTGAGCTGAAGAAGAAGAGAGGGGGAGGAGTGAGACAAGAAGGGAGGGGTGTGTTAATTAATATGTCCAGATGAGGAATATGAGGAGTATGAGGAATCTATCGTGCGAGCCGTATCTAGCATCATCAGAGGATAACGCCATAGCAGGACATACTGTAGTAATCTGGACACACGACACTGCGCACTGTTCTATTCTGACGTTCTCTGACACGTCCCTTACATAATCCCCATCCCCATCGGTTTATTTGTGTAACTATCCCATAGGGGTTCTCCGGTGCAAATTGCGCAATCGTTCGGCTTAGAAGTGGTGAGTGGGTGGAAGGGAGGGCGAGGTACCTTTGATACCTTATGCCACAGGTGTAGAGGATAGATGTAGACTTGCTTGTTGCTTGTACCCCATCGTCGAGACCGTTGGATGATCGGCGGTTTGGATCGGAGGCGCCATCTGATGGGTGATTTGCGAATTTGGCTGTGCTGTTGTGTGCTGTATGGTGGTGGTGAGTGGAAGTGGTTGTGGTAGTGGTGGTGGTACATGTACCTGGGTGGTTTCTATGTGGTGATACTTGTACCTTGGTAGGTTATATCTGTGTGTGTGAGAGGGTGGGTGTGTGTGTGTTGCATCAGGATATATGCTGTAAGAAGTCTGTATGTGCGTACGCGTGTATGCATATCAGGTACAGGAACGGGAATGGAAGTTGTGTCTCTGTCCGTATGTATGACAATCGTAGAGTAACAGAACGTGTATAGTATAGAGTGTATATACTGTATACAGTACAGTACAATACTCTGTTTCGTTGAATATGAGCACGTTTCGGACATTCGCTCTTTCACACAATCCCGTACCATTCGCACGTTTCGACTTCCTTCTCTCCTCGTCACTCTCTCTCTCTCTTTGTTCCCTTTCTCTTCCCTTCCGTGCGTGCGTACGTGCGTGTGTGGGTGTCTTACTAACAATAGTCGTGGTAGTCGTCTTACCTACGCACCACCGTCTCGGCCTCATACACGTGTAGTCCTCCTCTATCCATAGTATCCATAGTAGAGAGAGAGAAAAAAAGAGTACATACCCCATTGAAAAGCAACTACCAGCGGTACTGTACGTATGTATGTACATTCCTCTAAAATACCATAACCTTGCTGTCAAAGAAAAACCACTCCCACCCAGTCATTCAGCCCTGCACGCCTTTTGGTACACTGGACAACAGGGTTTATCCCATCCCGTACAGTCAGATCGTCAGATCCATCGATATCCATCCAAGTCTCCCATCCGCGAGGAGCTGAAGGCGCTTGGAGATTGTGGTTGTTTTGAAATAATAAATTTTCAAGGAAGAGAGTTACCCTCTGGGCTACTACGGCGTCCCACGTCAGAGCACGTTTTTTTTATGGGATTAATGGAGTCAGAGTCAGAGATGCGAAAATAAGAATAAAAATAAAAATTCTCTTCTCGCACGATTGAGTATGAGCAATGGCGTAGAGTGGGGGGATTAGAGACACCGGCGAGACAACGGAAGGTGCGGGAATGGGGGGAATGCCATAGATGGGTACTTGCTCACAGTATGGGAGTTCACATACTACAGTCAAGTACTCCTATGGTGGGAGAATGGCATAATGTGAGGATGAGATGGCCCACACATGGCATAATCGCTGGTCTTTGTATCTTCTATCTGTGGAGAAAGCTGGATGGGACAACAATAGCACAATAGCCATAGAGGATGGTGGAAGCCGGCCATGTGTAGTACATCCCCTACGTACAAAAATTGGGTGCGAGCGCATGTACCCCTCTGCCAGTCCTCTCGCTGGGCTGAGAATTGTGGAATTGTGGGGTGGAGGTGATGCAACCAAGGACGGATTATGTACCTTTTCAGTGAGATGTGTACTGGGACAAGTACTTCGTACTGTACTGATGAAAAGATGGTGGGGTTTTTGCTGCCACGCTCGCCATTTGACTCACGATGGTGGATTGCTAAGGTACATTCATTCTCTCTCTCTCTGACCATCCATACATATAAAGACTGAAGCCTTCCTTTAGTTTCCCACGATAATAAGAAAATATATAATCACACACACACACACACACACACACAGACGCACAGTTAAAACAAAAACAGTTTAACTTTTGCTTCAATTAACCATTCCATCGAACCTCGGATTACTCACTTATCACCACCAACCCCCATCTCCGATCTCGCGGCTAGACTCACCAACCTTATCTATCTGCCATTCCTGCCCACACCCACCTCACTCAGCTCTTCCCCACAAGCCACAGATAAGAGAACAACACACACACACACACACAACACACACATACGAGCAATTACACGCCAGATAGAGAAGGAGTCAGGATCCATTCAATTTCCCCATTCAGCATTCCGTCTGCACCCGCCCGAAGCCGATAATCGATAATCATCGGATTCTCCGTTATCACACACACGCACGCTTCATATCGGAAACTCTATATATCAACCCCCACGACCCCTCCGTCTGGACTTTTCTCACTTCATACCACTCACTCACCACACTACCAAACTTCAAACTCTGAACACACATAGCTCACATCAACACTCTCACCAACAAAACAACCACCACCAAAACACCACCAACCCGCAATCCTGGCCCCTTCCACCCTCACCTCCCCCCCCCCCCCCCCCCCCGCCCCCCGCCCCTCCCCCCGGCCCCAACCCCGCCGCAAGAACTCCTCGCACCGCCCAATGCTTTTCCGTCGCAGCACGCAGGAGCGCGAGCGCCGCGGGCGCGCTGCTCGCTCGGCTGAGGAAGAGGAGTTTGCTGCTGAAGGTGGGGATGAGAGTTTTTTGGATTTCTGGTAAGCTTCTTTCCTTACCCCAACAAACTCCTATGATGGGAATTATGAGATGGGATTAAAGCTAACGGTGGTGATAATAGCACATACTGCGATTCTCAGCTCCCACCCACCCCGCACCAGAACACGCTTTACTGCTCGGAACGATGCCGTCAACTCGATCACCCGGTGTCCACTCAACACACCTTCCTCCCCTCCTCCCCGCCTCCATCACCATACCTCTCCCCAACATACCAGCACCCCGCCTCCCCCACCACATCCGCCAACCCCGGTCGGGACATCATCCCCCGCCTCTCTCCCACCCTCTCTTCTCCCTCCCTCTACACTCCCCCGACCGCACTCGCATCTCTCCGCTCGATAAGCTCCGGCATCGCGCGACGCGCTGAGCGTGACCACCCATCCCCGCCAGAGTCATCAGATGAAGACTCCGACGGCATTGTCTGGGCCTACCGCGGGAAGAACAACAGCAAGGGGTACTTTGGTGTTGTTTCCAGCCCGGGGGAGAGGCCGCTGCCGAGTCGTGGCGGGTGGGGGGGTAGGACGAGGAGTGTGGATTTGATTACGCCTGTTGGTGGGATTTAAAGTCGGCTCGTTTTCTCACTCTTCTACCCACCCTACTCTCGCGGGTTTGGTTGGGATCATACGCTTTGGGAACTTTGGGAGCATTGCATATTTTTACGATTTGGGAACATGGATGGGTGCATGGGATGGGATTGGGTATATCACAATAGCGCTTGGGATTTTTTGGGAATCATGATATGATGGATGGGATGGGATATATGGGTATATATGGATATGATATATGATATGAATGGGGGAGCTGGTAACACAGGACAGCGAGGAAGTAGGATAGCTTAATATATATAATAATACACCACTCATAAACAAACAAAAATGTGTTTTTTTTTCTTGCTTTGGTGAATGGTGGTGGTGGTGGGTGACGACACATGGTGTCTCAGCAGGTTGAGACAGGTGTTTAGCTTTGTGGTGGGTGAGGTTGGGAAGAGGTGGGGGGTTATAAGGATGTTTTAGAGGATATGGGAGGTATAGATAGTAATACCAGGTAGCTCGGGATATTTGTATCAAGTAAATGGGATTTTCTGGTCTAGAAATAACAAATATATGTTGGGTGGGAAGAAACCGTTATTTTGGTTATTTTTTTTAAAAAACATCACATATATATAAATAAATCCACCCCACTACAAAATGTTTTTAGAATCAAAGAAAAATACAGTTTCCTCCAATCTAGTCCTCCATAATATAGGTTAGGAAGAACCCAATGTAGGAGCAAACCTAGCATCTCAATTTTCATCATATACAACTAGTAGAAAGCACATTCAATATAACAACAGTTCATACAATCCCCCCCCCTCTCTCCCCCCTCGTCTCCCACACCACCGCACCAAAAAAATCCAAAGGCAAATATCTATCACACATATAGACCTCCCTCATCGCGCTACTGCAAACCATAGCTCCAATGGCGCAATGGTAGCGCGCAAGACTTCTACTATAAGTTGAATGAAATAATTCACGTGGTATCTTGAGGTTGAGGGTTCGAGCCCCTCTTGGAGTGCGATTTCCGCATTTTTATTTTGCATTTTATACCATTTTTGCTACTTTTTATCTATCCCCTTTAATTTCGTTGGCATTTGCGTCCCTGCCGTAAGTTTATAGACGTTAAATAGGCATTGGAATTTGATATGCAGAAGTTAAGGTTAAGAGTGTGGCCGTTAGAGATCGAAGCAGATTGCCGAGCTGTCAATCGATCATCATGTCGTCACAGGGGTCCAATATTGACCGGAAATCATAGCACTATTTTACGATATCCCAGCCACTGTAGTTGATAAGCCTTCTCGTACCTGGTACGGTAATTACGCACTATATGGCATCATGTTCTCTCCCATAGTCCCTCTATCCCCTCTGCTGTGCTTGTGTGTGGCGGTTTGTTCTTTCAGTTTCTGTCCAAGTGTTATCACCTGTGAGAATCTCTAAGGACGATTCTCACTTTCCGCCTCCCTCCAGCTACCCCCGCCGAAAGAATACCTAGATGGGCATCTCCATCGACAGTTCCCAAATCGGGATATCGCCAGACCAACTCCTCACGAAGCTCCACCATGCCTTCAGTAACCCAACATCGGCTGTGAAATCTGAGAACCCGGGGACGACGAGAGAGCGGAAGGGGAGGAGATTACAGAAACCTCCGCGCCGGTGCTCGGAACCTAGACAGTCGGGGGAGGGGTGCTGGAAGACAATTATCGCCGAGTCGACACGGTTAAAGATCCGCCAGATCCTCGGTCACTGTGCCTACGAAAAGGTTGCTGGAGAGATGGAGACGGCGCCGTTCTTGTCGCGTGGCTAAATGGCAGGGAGATGGGCAGGGAGGGGTTATAGAAGGGGAAAGGGAGATGTAGATCGGATAATGGGAAAAGCCTGTGATGATAACTTTGATGCATACGTGGGCTCACTAAGACCCGCAAGAGCAGAGCAACAAGAACAAATAAAATAAATTATACCTCTTGAGGCAGACAGACATGCCATGTTCCCCTTCAAATCCTAACTAACGCCTTCTTCTGGGTGGCTACTATTTACTATACATACAAACTATACCGCCTCCAAAACCCCCAAATCCCCACCAGCGCCAAATATGCAATCATATACGACATTATCTCCCCTCCTCCACTAAATATAACTAACCTTAGTAGCCATCCCCATCGTCCCCCTCACCTTCCCCCACACCCCCCTAACCCTCTCCTTCACCGCCCTATTCCCCAGCGCAAGCAATATCAACACCGCAAACGCCACCGTCCTCAGCACCGACCCCGGGTTATTCAACAGCGTCGCCGCAAGGACTTTAATAAGCTTCTGCACATTCCCCATCAGCGCCGTAGCGCGCTGAATCATATTCGGCGGCGTCGCCACCGCCGCCCGCTGTCCCGACCCAGACGGCTTCGTCGAGTGCAAGACCCTCGACTTAATAGCCCCCTTCTTCGGCGGCGGCGCCGACGCCGACCTAGAAGGCGAGGATTTCCCACTCGCCGAGCCATTCGCTTTCCCATTCGCAGACCCGTTAGACTGCACCGGATGCGAAGAATCAACCCCATAATCCACCTCACTCCCCGCCCTATTCCCTCTCTGCTCCTCCACCCTTCTCGCCTCGCGCTGCTCCTCCAGCCGCCGCGCCTCACGCTCTTCACTTTCTATCCGCCGCCGTTTAGCTTCCTCAAGATCAGCTCGTAACTTCTCCTCCTTCTCCCTCGCCATCTCCTGCTCCCTCAACGCTGCCTCCTCGCGCTCATCCTCTAGGCTCTGGAGGGCAGCTAGAAACGCATCACGGCGCTCCTCATCCAGTACTTCGGAGGCGGAGATGAAGTCCCGCGCGTACGCCCACTCGTCGTTTCGCAGGAGGACGTGTAGGGTGTAAAGCTCGAGGATCTTGACGCGCGCGTTTAGGTCGCGGGGGGTGTCGGTGCCGACACTGCGGGTGGGGCTAGCGCCGCGGACGGAGGATTCATTGAAGCGGCCTGTCAGGTCGAGGTTGGGGGTGCGGGCGGCGGCGAGGTAGGCTTCGAGGCGGGTTTGGTTGAGGTGTTGGGTGCGGGCGTGGGCGAGGAGGAGGGTTGCTCTGGGGAAGGGGGTTAGCATGTGATGGGGGGTGAAATGAGGAGGGGGGGACGAACAGGTTAATGACGACGTCGGCGTCGACGTCGCCTTCCACTCCGCGGTAGCCGTTCTGGACGACTTCTTCCCAGACGATGCCGTCACGGACTTTGGTGACGAGGTTGCGCCATTCTTGGGTGCCGAAGGCGGCTTTGCCTTCTTCGCCGTCGAGCTCGACGATGGCGTTTAGGATGGTTAGGTAAAGACTCCAGACCTTGATCCTGGTGGTGCGAGAGGATTTAGCAATTGGGGCTTGGTCCACGACCGAGACGTTGCCGTTGGAGTCTGTAGTGGTCGGCGCCGTGATCACTGGGAGGATGGTAGAGAGCGACTCCGGCAATCGACGCGTCAGAAATAGGGTTGAGGACTGCCGGTAGATCTTTGAGATCTGGGAGGAGCCATGTCGAGAGGATGTCGAGCTCGCCATTGAAGCCGAGAGTAGTTGTGAGGAGGATAAGGATGAGGATCCGGAGTCGTTGGGAGGGAGGAGTGAAGGCGTGGACCCATTAAAAGCCATTGTTTAGCGTGTAGGGCATCTGGAGAAGGACGCACGAGGCCGAGGAGATTAGAGGGGACGGGGATGAGGCCCTTCAGTCGTTAGCTCCGAGGAATGGATGGGGAGATTCTGGAGATCTCTCGGAGTGTTAGCAGGTGATCGCGTACTGGAGCCTCGGCAATTTGGACATTACCATCGGACGTAGCCGCACCCCAGCGGTGATGGGATGGTCACGTGAGGTGCGATTCAATCTGTACGACGGCTTGTCATTTAAGTGGTTCATGCATGCGTGCATGGAAGGCACCTTTGACAAGCACCGGCGGTGACTTATTTGTTTGGTGTTGAAACATGAGTGCTGGCAAAACAATTCTCAGGAAAGTCAAACATTACTTCAAAGTTCCATATATCTCTTCTCTGCTGCATTCAGAACCATAAGCTCTTTCTTGCGGTGATTAAACTAATGAAGCACGTCTTTTATATCCCTTGAAGTTCACACGCACGTCAGGCTTAAATATAAAAGCCACAACCGCCACCCATGATATAAGTTGTGTGTGTTTTCATTGCCAAAATAGCTTCACAGCTACCCAACAACTACCCCACAGCTGGAGGGCTTTCTATTGTTCCTTATTCCATGCTAGATCGACCAAAGTGACGCGTGCCGTTCAACACCTGAAGTTGATACAACCCTCAAAACATATGCCACGAAAGGCAGCCTCTCCAATTAACCTCCATCAATATGGAAGTCGACCAGCAGCACTTCTGGCATGAGCTTTTGCCCATTCTAAAAGCTATTTCCACTGCAAGCTTCGTTACCGTCGACGTGGAGATGAGTGGGATCTCAACCAAGGCACGATACTCACCTGGTGGACGTTTCAACGAAATTGGCAAGCCGTCACTCCAACAACAATATGAGGATACGAAAGAGGCAGCTGAAAGATACCAAGTCTTGCAGATTGGTCTGACCTGTGTGGAAGAAGATCGGAAGAATGGTCAGTCCTCGTCAGCTGGACATGACGAGATAAGGGGGCGTTGCCATTTCCGTGGACTGACAGACCGTAGGAGTTTACACATCTCGCCCATACAACTTCAATATCAATCCACTGCTGGAAGATGGAGATAAACTCGATATCTACCGTGATATTACGCTCTCATCAAGCTCTATGCATTTCCTAAGGAAGAACTGCTTCGACATCGGCGCCGTCTTCACGAAAGGGATATCATATATCTCCCGCAAGGAGCAAGCCCAAGCTCGTCAAGCTTTCCTAGAGCGCCAAAACCGGAACAGCACCATTCCGGATATCGAAATCGGCCCTGGTGACCAGGTCACTCTTGATTTCTACCGCAACGCTAGAAGACAGTTGCTGGAATGGACCGATCCCAAGAACAAGGAAGTAAGGGATGCAATGGGATTCTACAATGTCTCTGTGCCTGGTGGACTTAGTGGCTATCAGCGAAGACTGGTTTACCAACTTGTCAGAACTGAGTTCAAGCAGTACAGAGCGTTCTTGCCGAGGAAGAATGCCGATTTCGTGCAGGTCGAGAAGATGGACACGGCGAAGGAGGCTAAGGTATGTGGATTGCAGCTTGGTATAAGGGTAATGCTGATTTCTCTAGATTGCTGCTTCAAAGGTCATAGCCAATGAAACTCAGCTGTCCAAACAAGTGGGTATGTTGGCTATTTCTTGCTTTCTCTTTCGTCGCGCCTCTAATAACCAGACAAATAGGCTTCCGCTACATTTTTGAAGCTCTCGCTGGTGGCGATCTCTCCGCTATAGCCCCGAACTGGTTCTGTATCAACGCTGCCGGCCAATCCGCCTTCATTGACACCTCCTTGAAAAAGCTTGAGCTATCCAGCCTCACCAAAGCACTGACGGCCAAATCCCGCGTCCTCGTCGGCCATAACCTCTTCACCGACCTCATATTCCTCTACCACACCTTCATTGGAAACCTCCCCCCAACCGTCACCGAATTCCAGGAGAAGGTCCATGCTCTCTTCCCCATGGTCATTGACACGAAATATATGGCCACCCACGAAAAACTCATCGACTCGCGTCAATCGTCCAGTCTTCAAGACCTTCACCAAGACCTGAAATCCCAACGCATACCAGACATTTGCCTCCCCGAGGAGTTCAGATCCTACCAGAATCGCCACCAACTCCATGAAGCAGGTTACGACAGTTATCTCACCGCGCAGATCTTCCTCAAGCTCGCTGCTAAGTTAGATGTTGGCCGTCCCAGCGTCACGCACACTGTGGATCCATTTGAACTCTCCACCGGCTCCGCTGATAGCACAAGCTCCGACGACGATAGTGGTGGTGTTGTGCTCGAACCCGCGCCTCATTCTGCGAACCGCTTCCAAGTCCTCAGCGATCCGAGCCCGATCAAGAAGAAGGCCAGGCAACCGAGCCTGCTGGACTCGG